GGACAATTTGAAATTCCATAAAAGCCCTGAAAGTTGGACAGAAAAATTACTACATTCAACAGCTCTAGAAATAGAAGAAAGTGATGAATAAAGTCAGTCTCCTGACCAGAGGACACAATAAAGAAATATTTAGACTGACTAGTACCTTGCATTTCTATATCTTTTTTAAATAAGAAACTTTGAGGTACATTTTTTTTCTTTTATGTGCAGCTGTTTTGAGATTTTATACAGATCACAATGTTCTCTCTTTCAGAAACATGACTAAAAAAGAGAAAGAAAAAGATCTGTTTAGAACAAAATAAAGAACACGTCCCATAGTTACTCAAAGGAAATGTGTGTGAATGTGAGCATGTTTTGATTTTCCCTTAATATTAGATTAGTGATAGCTGAGCATCAGCTGCTCTGCTTGAGGGGCAGTTCCCTTGCTCTGGTATGTGTCTCTGAGGCCACAGACTTCACTTCTTATCTTCTCCAATGTGTAGAAGTAGGATCTTTGCACCAGCTTCTATTTTTCTTGATGCTGAGGGAGAAAGTGTAATGCCCGGAAGCAGCTGGTTGGGTACTGTGGAAAGACCAAGAGTTTTGGAGATGTCAGACCTGGTTTGGACTCCTGTTATTTCCTCATGGTGTGACCTTGGGCCAGTCCCTTAGGCTTTCTGAGCCCCAATTTCCTCACCTATAATATAGAATTAATAATATCTTCCTTGTAGGGGTTTTGTGAGGATGAAATGAGACAATATATGAACTATTTCTAGTTGAGTGATTTTACATCATGTCTTGGCATGTTGTGATCAGTTGTGAGTTGTGACTGTCTTGCTCATTTATTCATTCATTTACTTACTCATTCATTTGACAGATATGATTTGAGCCCCTGCTATGTAGTAAGTGCTGAGTGTACAAGTGAGTTAGATAACAGGTCTCTGCCCTTCCTGAGCTGCAGAATTATGAATGTAAGTGACAGACAGGTAAGCACTAATTGTAATACAGTGAAACATACTAGGTTCCAAGTAATTTTTAAGTACAGTGGTGCTGAAGTTTGAGAATAATAGTTGTTTTTTTTTTTAATTGGGATGGATTGGATATAATATTCATTATAATTTTACTCTCATTTACTTGCAGTCCAGTATACTTTCCCCCATCCATCAAATGTGAAGGTAGTGATATCATGCCAAAATATATCCCCCAGGAACAACATATGTTGACATAGCATATAGTTGGAACGAAGTGAATGACATTTAATATAATGATGATAATGAAGAAGAAAGTGCCTTGAAATAATGTTACTTACCATGTAATCCTGGCAGTGTTTTATTGAGGCCTTGTGTTAGGAAAGTCAGCCACAGGCCAACCTGAATATTTATGTGTTTTCTGGACTATAAACTCTAATTACAATGAATGGAGTGTTTTATGCCACCTCAAGACTGTCATTGTGTGTTCTCTATATGAAGCTTTGGAATTAGAATCAATATTAATAAAAATATGTCTTTTTAAAAAGAGATTTCTGGCACATAAATACTTAATAAATACATGTGTTTTGGGGTCTTAGGAGAAGATTCCTGGGCTCTCAGCACACTTGTCTGATAGGGGGCGGGCCAGGTGACCCTGCTGGACCTCCTGTGAGCAGCTTTGACTTGGGTATTTGGCACATCACTGGTCCCCAGTTCTTGGTACACAGGCAGCAGAGGCACTATGAGGCTTACTGAGAGTACCCACCTGGCCTGACATGAACACCACCCACTGCCCTTAAGTCCCCTCACTCAGATAGCCTGGAACTTTGATGATGCTAGTTTCATTATTGAGCCCTTTGCAGTGCCAAATGCTGAATTGCTACAGTTTTCTCAGGGAGGTTTTAAGAGCAGGGAAGCTTCAGAGTGAAAGATTCAGGAGCAGAATCCACAGCCTCATAGAGGATACTGGTAGGAAAGGACCTACATGCAAATTATGGGGTTCTTTGCTAAGTTATTTTTTTCTAAGACCATATTGCCCCCTAAAAGGTGAGGTGGGCTCTTCTGGCACAAATAAAAATGTATAAAATATTTTTTCTGAAATTCACAGAGACCAGCTCTGGAAGCATTCTTCTCTATTGCCCGTTGTCTTTCAGGCTGATGGCTATCTCACCATTTGGCAGAAATCTCTGCAGATTTCTGTGTTTTTAGGAAGGGTGGATAATGCTCTGGTAATGAATTTTAAGCTAGGTCATATTTTCAGTGTTCCTCTACCATTAGGACCTGGGAAGTTGGGAGATACACATTTACCAGCATTAAAAATCTTTTTATTGTAGAAAATTTCAAACTTATCCCAAAGTAGGTAGAATTGTATAATGAATCCCTATGTACTCATCATGTAGTGTCAATAATTATCCACTCATGAGTAATAAATTTTCATCTAATATCCCTATCTAGAGTCCCTGGGTGTAAGTGCTAGGCTACTACCTGAAAGGTTGTTGATTTGAGCCCACCTAGAGGCACCTTAGAAAGAAGACCTGCTGATCTGCTTCTGCAAAGTGACAGCCTTGAAAACCCTATGGAGTGTAATTCTACTCTGCACTCATGGGATTGCCATGAGTCAGAATCACCCCAAAGGCTTCTGGAGTTTGGTTTTATACCCTTAACTACATCCCCCTTCCATATTATTTTGAAGCAAATCCTAGACATCATAGGATTTTAATTATATTATGTATCTCTAAAAGATAAGGAATCTTTTTGTTTTTAATGTAACCACAGTATCATTGTCAAAGCTAAAAGTTAACAATAATTCTTTAATACCATAAAAGTGCTCAAATTGCCTTTGCCTTATCAATGTCATACTTTTTTTTTTTTTTACAGTTCTTTTTTTGAATCAGGATGCAAATCAAGTTCATACAATGTGATTCATTAATATTTCTTTTAAATCCCCTCCTAGTTATAGCTGTGCCCTCTTCTATCTTTTTATTTCTTCAGATTTAATTTTGGAAGAAACTGGGTTATTTGCCTTGTTGAGCTTCCAGCAGTCTGAACTGTGCCCACTTCATCTGTGCAATGTAGATTATCAGGTTTATCTGTCGTTTGTATTTCTTACAAGTTGCTAGTTGATAAAATTCAGTTTAATTTTTTTTTTTTTTTTACATGATTAGTTCATAAAACTGTTGTGCTTTTCCATCAGGAGACACATAATGCTTGGTTGTTTCTCTTTTGTGATGTCGCCAGCCATGGATGTTGAATTACTGAACCATTTCTTATACTTTATTAGCTGAAACATTTTTATAGAGTGAAACTTTCCTTCATTAACTATATAGATAGTTCAGTTCATAATGAAAGGCAGGATAAAGGCTTGATTTTTTTTGCCTTTATTTACCAGTGTTGACCAAGTAGTTGTTGTTGTTGTCTTTAAGTATTATTATGTCCCCACGGATTTAAATATATTTGATATTAAACTTCTTGCACTTTGTATAATTATGAATGCTCAAGTTGTTCCATCTTTGGCTAATAGGAGCAGGAGACTCTTAGTTGACTATTGAATCCTATTGACATGACCCTAGTAGTCTTGATAGTTTCTTTCCTATCTAGTATGACAAGATATTTCAGACTCATCTTGTACATTTCCTGCCCCAGCCATTTGAGTCCTTTGAGAGTGCTATTTGGAGACCACAATCTGGATCAAGAGGTGCTAATGTACCCATACACGCAAACATGTACATACATACACATATGCGCATATATATACACACACCTACACCTGCATGCATTTTATATATATGTGTGTGTGTATGTATAGGAGTCCCTGGGTAGCACAAATGGTTAAGCACTAGACTACTAGCTGAAAGGTTGGTGGTTTGAATCCATCCAGAGGCACCTCAGGAGACAGGCCTGGCAATCTGCTTCTGTCTATAATGCCATTTTGTACTGCCCCCCCCTCACCTTCTGAGAGGTCACAGCCTTGTAAACCCTATGGAGCAGTTCTACTCTGCACATGTGGGTTTGCCATGAGTTGGAACTGACTTGATGGCAACTAACAACCAAAACCATACATATATATACATATATATATGAAGAAATACTTTCTTTTCCTTTCCTTAATTATATTTTAAATTAAGGTTTACAGAGCAGTTTCTCATTAAACAATTAATACCCATGTTGTTTTGTGACATTAGTTGCCAATCCTACTACATGTCAACACTCTCCCCTTCTCAACCTTGGGTTCCCCATTACCAGCTTTCCTGTCCCCTCTTGCCTTCTCGTCCTTGCCCCTGGGCTGGTGTGCCCATTTAACCTCATTTTGTTTTATGGGCCTGTCTAATCTTTGGCTGAAAGGTGAGCCTCAAGAGTGATTTCATTACTGAGCTATAATGGTGTCTGGGGGCCATATTCTCAGCTTTGTTCCAGTCTCTGTCAGACCAGTAAGTCTGGTCTCTCTCTTTTTTTTTTTTTTTTTTTTGTGAGTTAGAATTTTGTTCTACATTTTTCTCCAGCTTTGTCCGGGACCCTCTATTGTGATCCCTGTCAGAGCAGTTGGTGGTGGTAGCCGGGCACCATGTAGTTGTACTGGACTCAGTCTGGTGACGGCTGTGGTAATTGTGGTCCATTAGTCCTTGGACTAATCCTTACCTTGTGTCTTTGGTTTTCTTCATTCTCCCTTGCTCCAGATGAGGTGAGACCAGTGGAGTATCTTAGATGGCTTCTCAAAAGCTTTTAAGACCACAGACACTACTCACCAAAGTAGAATGCAGAACATTTTCTTTATAAACTATGTTATGCCAACTGAGCTAGATATTCTCGAAACCAGGGTCCCCACAGCCCTCAGCCCAGTAATTTGGTCCCTCAGGGAGCTTGGATGTGTCTATGGAGCTTCCATGACCTTGCCTTGGACAAGTTGTACTGGCTTCCCCAGTATTGTGTACTGTCTTACCCTTCACCAAAGTTATCACTTATCCACTGTCTATTTAGTGTTTTTCCCTTCCCAACACTCTCCTCCCTCATAACAATCAAAGATTGTTTCTTTTTGTGTGTAAACCTTTTCATGTGAAAAATATGGAACATTTCACTAATTTGCGTGTCATTGTTGCTCAGAGGCCACGCTAATCTTCTCTGTATCGTTCTAATTTTAGTATATGTGCTGCTGAAATGATCACAAAATACATACGTTTTAACAGATAAAATACCTTATATATTCCGAATAAGAACTTTAGAAGTGAGGTGCTACACTGGCACATTTAAGGTGGCTGGCCTAGGAGCAGGAAAACCTGGTGGCGTAATGGCTAAGAGCTACGGCTGCTAACCACCAAAAGGTCGGCAGTTGGAATCCATCAGGCTCTCCTGGAAAACCCTTTAGGGTAGTTCTACTCTGTCCTATAGGGTTGCTATAAGTCGGAATCGACTCAATAGCAGTGGTTTGGTTTTTGGTTTGGCCTAGGAGCAGGCCCTACTCCACGTTGTTACAGGCTCCTGCTTTTGCATTCCTGAGAATGTAACTCTGACTTCCTCCCATTCACATGCATATGGACTCAGGTATCTGGCTAGGTAGAATCAACAGACCCTGGCCCCCTGGCAGTTATCTTGTTTATTTTGTTTAAATGTACAGAAATTAGGTGGATCTCCATCAGAGAAGAAATGTAAACAAATTCTTTTTATTGTAAGAATTCTAAGAAGCCAAGAGATAATAATCACAATGAGACACACCTGGAATGGCCTGGAGACATGTTTCTGCCCCTAGCAAGAGACTTAAAGTTATATCCACATCACTGAACTGTTCAGCTGAGCAGAGACCCTGTGATTTCCAAAATCAGTTAATAAAATCTTAGAGGGCTAAAATTAGATTGGGGGAAATACGGGAAATGGTAAAAGTTTGAATGAAAACTTAGAATATTTAAACAAACTTTATTTCAGCAGTAATTATGTTTTGTGGTATACAAGCTTAAAATAATTTCCAAGATCTTTTAGGTAACTTAACTGATATTAAATTAATAGATACTTGTCATAATTTATACACTTTTGCTTTTTATACTACAGAGAAAGGATATAAGTATATATTTGAGTCTGCTAATGAGTGTTTGTTTTTGTCACTTAAAGGGTGTCCTACAAGAGATACAGTATATAGACCAGGCAGTGTTTCATTCTGTTGTACATGGGGTCTCTGTGAGTCAGAAGTGACTCGATGGCACCTAACAACAACAACTGTAAGAGATCTGCAGCAAAGATGACGTTTAAGAAGTTTACTAAAAGGGAATTTATTTGATATGGTCAAAGTTTTTCTATTTCTGGCTAAAGTTTGATGGGTTCATTTATGAGAATTTCTAAAAACTTTAATGTCAAATAGCAAACAGTTGGGTTTCTTGCTGCTAAATAACAAAATTTTTCTTGGATTACTAAATTAAAGAGTTCATTTATTCTTTGTATAATCTGCCTGGAAGGCAAGTGTTCAGTCTTTTATTAGAATAAATTCCTGAAAACCAAGCCACATGACTTTGAAAAAAGCTAAGGTGTTTTTTTTTTTTTTTTTTTTTTTATCCTTTAAAATCTTTGATTAAATAAATCAAGTATTTTTTCCCAATGACCTGTCATAAACTCCTGACAACTTTGTGGAAAGCCACCAAAGGTTTTTTTCCCCTGCTTTATAAAGAGTGCTAAAATAAAAGGGTTTTATTTAATATGCTACGTGAAACATGTTACCAAATCAAAAGAAGAACCTGAATTTTTTGGAAAATGAATACCACTGTATCATCGTTTTATTATTTTTGTTGTACTTTAGATGAAAGTTTACAGAACAAACTAGTTTCTCATTAAACAGTTAGTACACATACTGTTTTATGACATTGGTTAACAACCCCACAACATGTCAACACTCTCCCTTCTTGACCTTTCCCTATTATCAGCTTTCTTGTCCCCTCTTGCCTTCTAGTCCTTGCTCCTGGACTGTTGTGACCCTTTAGTCTCGTTTTGTTTTATGGGCCTGTCTAATTCTTGTCTGAAGGGTCAACCTTGAGAGTGACCTCATTACTGAGCTAAAAGGGTGTCCGAGGGCCATACTCTCAGGGTTTCTCCAGTCTCTGTCAGGCCACTAAGTCTGGTCTTTTTTTTGTGAGTTAGAATTTTATTTTACATTTTTATCCAGCTCTGTCCAGGACCCTCTATTGTGATACCTGTCAGAGCAGTCAGTGGTGGTAACCCGGCACCGTATAGTTGTACTGGACTCAGTCTGGTGGAGGCCGTAGAAAGTGTGGTCCATTAGTCCTTTGGACTAATCTTTCCCTTGCGTCTTTAGTTTTCTTCATTCTCTCTTGCTCCCGAAGGGGTTAGACCAGTGGAGTATCTTAGATGGCTGCTCACAGGCTTTTAAGACCTCAGACACTACTCACGAAAGTAGAACGTAGAACATTTTCTATATGAACTGTGTTATACCAGTTGAGCAGGTGTTCCCAGAGACCATGATCCCCACAGCCCTCAGCCCAGCAATTTGGTCCCTCAGGGAGTTTGGATGTATCTATGGAGCTTCCATGACCTTGCCTTGTACAATTTGTGCCGGCTTCCTCAGTAATGTGTACTGTCTTACCCTTCAGCAAAGTTACCACTTATCTATTTTCTATTTAGTGTTTTTCCATCCCTCCCCCTCCCCTCCCTGGTAATAATGAAAGAGTGTTTCTCTTTGTGTGTAAACCTTTTCATGAGTTTTTACAGTAATGGTCTCATACAGTATTTGTCCTTTTGTGATTGACTTATTTCACTCAGCGTAATGCACTGCAGATTCATCAATGTTGTGTGATGATTCACAGGTTCATCATTGTTCTTAATCATTGCATACTACTCCATTGTGTGTATGTACCGTAGTTTGTTTATCCATTCATCCGTTGATGGGTATCTAGGTTGTTTCCTTCTTTTTGCTATTGTGAACAGTGCTGCAATGAACATGAGTGTACATATGTTTACTCATGTGACGACTCTTATTTTTCTAGGATATATTCCTCGGAGTGGGATTGCTGGATCATATGGTATTTATACTTCCAGCTTTCTAAGGAAGCACCATATCATTTTCCAAAATGGTTGTATTATTTTGTGTTCCCACCAGCAGTGCAGAAGAAATTCTGATCTCCCTGCAGCCTCTTCAACATTTATTTCCAGGTTTTTGATTCGTGCCAGTAATGCTGGGGTGAGATAGTATCTCACTGTGGTTTTATTTTGCATTTCTCTAATGGCTAGTGATTGAGAGCAATTCCTCATGTGTCTCTTGGCCACTTGAATGTCTTCTTTGGTGAAGTGTCTGTTCATTTCCTTTGCTGATTTTTTAATTGGATTATTTGTCTTTTTGTCATAGAGTGTTGAATTTTCCTACAGATTTTAGAGATTAGAACTTTGTTGGATTTGTAATAGCCAATTTTTTTCCCCCAGTTTGTAGGTTCTCTTTTTACTCTTTTGGTGAAGTCTTTTTATGAGCATAAGTGTTTAATTTTTAGAAGATCCCAGTTATCTAGCTTATTTTCTGGGGTTTATGTGTAGTTAGTTATGGTTTGTATCCTGTTAATGCCACGGATTAGGGCCTCTAATGTTGATCCTATTTTTTCTTCTATGAACTTTATAGTTTTTGGCTTTGTATTTAGGTCTTTGATCCATTTTGAATTAGTTTTTGTATATGGTGTGAGGT